AGATTACCACATATCACAAAACATGTTAACTCTGTTCTATCTATTACCAATAATAAATGTTTTTTTTTTTAAGAATTTGTTTTTGAATAAACTGACAGTAAAAATTTTTTTATATGTGAATTTAAAAAATTTTTACTATACTTTAGGAGATTTGTATCATTCTATTAATCTTGTTTGTGAAATTTAAAAATTTTACTCATTAAATGCCATAAATTTCTTCTCAAAATATTCTTAAAGTGTTTTTTTTTTTTTTTTAATAAAAGACCATTAGAAATCGTGCAACATAAAGTTTGAATTTAGTATTGTTGAAAGGTGAAAATAAGCCTTTGGGATGATAAAGAACAAAGAGCAGCGGATTCCCCTATCGACTGTCCAGTCAACTGCTTTGCTCATCAAGTCTCACAGGTGTAGTTTTAGGAAAAACAAACTATAGGCAGTTCATTGTCTTTTGAACAGCAGTCGACTATTCTCACTTAGTTTTCTCTCGATAAAAAAAATGCTTTTAACAATCGACTGTTCTCGTTGGAAAAGTTAAATTTCGATTTAGAAAATTAAAAAAATTAATTTGTTGGACATATTATTTCAATTTTAAAGTGATGATTTTTGTTTAATAACTATTTATTCATAAAAAGATGTTTCTAACACTATTTGAGATATATATATATATATATATATATAATTCAACATACCTTTACGTATAATCTTTTCAAGAATCAAATCGTTCTCATTCACTTAATTTTTGATTTATGATTAGTGTATATTTAAGAGTTAATTTTTCGAAGTACAATCTTAATTATTTTAATTAAAATATAATATACTGGAAATAACGTTTCTAAAAAATTCATTCACACTATATATATCATAAAAAAAGCTTTCGAAAAATGTCTTGAGTAATTTTTTTTCTTCAAATTGATTATATTAGTTACTACCCATAGAGCAACTTTAGGATAATATACAAGGGTTGGCCACAGGGCACAAGCATCGGGATGAAGGTGTTAAATAGTCTTGGTGGGTTTAAATCCAACCGTCTATATATTACGTCAGGTTTTGTAATTATCATGATTCATGCATGTTCGTATAAAGTTTACCAAATTTAAATATGTTTGCTTAAAAGACTTCAAAGTCAATTTTTTTTATTATTGTAACAAAAAAACTTAACGTAAAACAGCAAACTACGTTATCTATGTTGTTTTTTTTTTTTTTTAAGATTCATTTTTTTTCTTTAATTTGTCATATGTTATATATTACTGAAATGTTGGAGTTTTTACGTTAGAAATCTGGTTCCACATTTCCAGGATTCCAATGCAAGATTCCATCTCTCCCAATCATGCTTCTTGATCGTAAGTGGATCCTGCAGGCTTCAGCTTCTTAGTTTATCAAAAAGGAAGCAACAATTAAACCGGGAGCCAACAATTACTGACAATAATTTGAAAGAACGTAGATTCAAAGCTAGCTACTGTTATTAGAACTTGTGGATCTGTCAGTAAAAGGATGACTTTTTTAAGTCCCAGACTCCCAAGTAAACGCTGTTGATTAAGTGCCATGAACTTGTTGACTTCAAGACAGTAACCCTTTTTAATTTGCCCTAATTGCTTTGGTTAAAAATTTATAATAAAGAAAAAGAAAGTTTGATGAAAAAAAAAGTGTACGAAAAAAGAGTTCGAATGAATAAATAAGTATATATATATATATAAAAACATTTTACGTATAGATAATTTTATTATTAGGAAAAAGATTTCAAAAGTTCCTTAATATTAATTATTTATTTTTATACTTTTAATTTCCCTTTCCCCTCAAAATTTTTAATTTCATGAAAAGATATAAAAAATAAATGGTCAACGTGCCAAATTGCATATTTTGTAAATGTGTTACCTTAAACTGGAAGATAATACCACGCAAGGTAGTCACGCAACTTGCAAAAAACTTTACTAATTAACTGTCTCAGATAGATTATTTTGATGAATTTTCTTGTCAACCATATGAATATTGTTTAATTTGCAATATTGTCAAAGGCTTTGAACACAATCCATCAGATACCTGGGGAATAGAAATGGTCCGCGATTCCCTAATTTTATGTAGTTAATCAAATTAGCCTAATTGTGATTTTTTTAATTACAGATCCATCAATTAATGTTTCCTTTTTGCAGCCTTCTTTCAACATCATAGTTTTGCTTTGTTAGGACTGTTACCTATTTATTAAGGAAATTTTTAATCTCTTCCCATGTTTCTATGTTTTGTTTTGGATTGTTGATGTTTGATTTTAACTTTCAGACCTTTATTCGCACGTACGTTACCATCCTCGAAACATGGTTGGGGGGCGATGGTTTGCATGTTTTAAGCAAGAAATGATCCACTGATCATTTTGTAATTAATAATGCACAGCCAGGCATGCATGCGTCGAAGACTATCAATCAAAATTTAATTACGAGCTCAATAATTAAATTGTTTTGTTTAATGAATATGTACTGTATATATAGTATACTTAAATAGAGGAAGATTATATTTTGATTCATGTCCCTTGATCTGTCTCACAAGGCATTGTTGGCTATACGGGGACCAAAGAAATTGACACACTCAAAGTATTTTACAATATTACTGTGATTCTAACTTAAACACAAAGTAAATGATGAGATCAAGTTTATACATCCCATATCGTTAACGTTAATTTACATTTTGAATTAGTCAATGCTATAGCTATTGATCTCTATCTTTGTCTTTGGAGTGTCTCAGGATTTTAGCATCTCAAAACTCTAAGGAGAGTTATCTTTTTATTTATCCTTTTTATTATACAGTAATTCTTTCAGGAGGAAAGACCTTAATTAATTTGTTCATAATACTCAGAAATTATTTGGAATTTTAGAAAATCTTTTGTTAAACATGCATGCTAATTATAACAGGAATATTAATGTGAAATTGTTCTTGTGTTAGTGAGTTTCGTGGGTACAAGAATTGAGGGGACCTTTGGGGTTGAAAAATATTATCGTTTTGTCTCCATAGGGTAACTGTGCAATTGTCACGGCTAAACATTTAAAGGAAGGAACGGGATATATTAATAATTGGCTAAGAAAAAAAATAAGTATTAATGTTACACATTTTAATATATTTATTTTGTAGAGAGAAAGTAATAATTATGTAACAAGTGATATCATAAATAATCTTTGAATTCTCTGATTTTAAGTCAAGCGTTTCATGAAAATAGATAAGATGGATCAATTTGACTATTTAATAAATTTTTAAGATAAGACATAATGATAAACTTTGAGCACATCAAACACTTCAAAAGAAAAAAAAAACAAATAGCGTGACGATAGTGATATAAGACTTGATAGAAGAGAATATCACACCGAACATTAAAATACAAAAAATAAAATATATTAATTCGCATAAAATAAAAAAAAAATCACTAAATATAGAAACATTTGCGTTGTACATCGTAATATCAGTTTTGCCAAAAAGAGGATTATAGCAACGAGATACAATCAGGTGGATGGACCACCCTTTAAGGCTTTCACGTCAGTGATGTTAGTTACTCGCAATCTAATGCGGGGATTAGTGGTAGGTAAAGTCATGTGGCCATTTTGAACGATAGATAGATAGGTATATGCTATCCAGTACTGAGACATTCTCCATCATTCGTTAATTTTAACTCAAACTGTGACTTCTCTATGCCCCACAATTTTTTTTTTTTCAGTTGTTTCATTTATCGTTTACATTCAGGATTGCCACAAAATTTTGAATTTGTGATTTGAAACTTGAATTTGCAACGTGAATCTCACGGGACTACGCTAATCAATAAAGGAAATCAAGTAATTGTTTTTTTTTTTTGGTTAAAAAAATCGTGAAAAATATTATTGGAGTTAAAGATATAAATTCTTTGATTTGTTGAATGTTATCTTTTAGAATAATTTATATTAATTAATTGAGTTAAATTTTAAAATAAAAAATAAAGTAATTATTATATGTAAGTCGCATGTATAATTAGTAAAGTTACTAGTAATTTGTCCTCGTTTTGGATTAATATACGTTTGAGTCATAATTTTTTTAATATAAATAAAAAAATAAATATTTATAAAATAATATCTAATGTCAACAAATTAATAAATTGATTCAATTGGAATTTCATTAATGCATAAACTAAAAATAAAAAATTAATTTTTAATTAATGATTCAAAGTCAATAATTTATAATTTTAAAAACATATTGAGATATAAAAAAATCAAACTGAACTATAATAATTTTAATTTGACTCGTGTATATATATACTATTCAATAGATATGTTAAATTTAAATTATATTAAATATTAAGTACATTTATCCACAGTTAATTGGGTTATGGATATTATAAATTCATGAATAGTTAAGTTCATTTTATTTATACTATAAAAACAAACAAAAAATTATTAATTATACTACTCAATAATAGATATGAATTTATATTTAAAATTTAAATAATATGAAATATAAAGTAATTCACTCACAGTTAATTGAGTCCATAAATACAATATATTCATAAATAACTAAGTTTATTAATAGTTAAATTTATATAACTTGAAATTAAAAATAAAAATCTTAATTAATAATAGTTTTAAACATGCATATCATGCAAGTGAATTGATATATAAATCGAAACATTAAAAACAAAAAAATCAAATATTATATTTTAGACAGTTTTTTAAAGAAGGGATACATGTCAATTAAGGAAAACTCTACATACAAAAATAGATGTATGTTATATTATTATTGTACTAATTCTAAAGGATATATAGACAGGAAATTTAAAGTTTCAAACTTAAGGTATTTATAGAAACTGTTAGTCGTAGATCAGCATTTTTATAGTGAAAAATAAAAAAATAAAAAAAGACATGATTCAAGTTGTCTTTTAGGACAAACAAAGCCGTTTCGATTCCTTGCTTTAGTCTATGGCAATAAATGCGTTCCGATTCCTTGCTTGAGTCTATGGGCAATATAATTATACAATAATTCTAAACTACTTAATTAGGTGAAAGTGGCTGTATGCAAAGTTCAGCCCCCATATACGGTATTTGTATAGAAGTGGTTGAGCTGAGCAGCTTCCCTACATTTAGTGTATATAAAAAGGCAGGACTTTCGCCCCTTTTATACAGACCAAAGAGAGGGTTGAAGGCCAAAACCAACAGCAGAAAAGAACGTGCAATAATAAGTTGTAGTAAAAGAATCCAAACTATAGAGAGTGCTAGTAGGGAAAGAGAGAGTAGTGATCAGCTATAGCAAAATAATAAGCAAGGCAAGGCGTTCGTAAATGGGAAGGAAGCCTTGCTGTGCTAAAGAAGGACTTAATAGAGGGGCATGGTCTGTGTTGGAAGATAAAATCCTCACAAACTACGTTAACATCCATGGTGAAGGCAAATGGAGAGACCTTCCTCAAAGAGCTGGTACGTACTCATTGATTAATTACTTGATCGATTAGCTTTAATTTTAATTTTGATTTTCTGGTGCTTTTCTTAATTTTGTTTTCCTATTAATCCATTTGTATAATAATGAATGAATGCGATTATTGAGTTTAATTTGTACGTTTAGGGTTGCAGCGATGTGGGAAGAGTTGCCGCCTGCGGTGGCTGAATTATCTCAGGCCAGATATTAAAAGAGGAAACATCTCGACCGAAGAAGACGAGCTTATTATTAGACTACACAAGCTCCTTGGTAACCGGTATTTACTTAAGTCTTTTCCCCTTTAAGTGTGCGAGATTAGAAAAATGTTGGCTTGGAAGAAAATGAGCCAATGTACAGTGGTAAATGTAGGTGAAATAGTGCATTAAATTGTTTTTGTTTTTGCCCGTAAAGATCTTTTTCATGAATGAATTTCTTTGATGGACGTCACCATTGATGTCAAATTTCTCAATTATTGTTGTTTTGATGGCAAATTTCAAATTTCTACTTGTAACGAAGACTAACTATAGTTAAAATTAGAAAAGGAAGGGATCCTGATTACCTAATACCTATGGTGAAAGTCTCTGAAGTGTAAAATTCAACTGTGACCTAGCTGGTTCTAGTTCTGGATGCTTTTTAATTAAAGCCAAAGCTAAAAAATTTACATGTAAATCTGGGTTCTTTCAGGTGGTCTCTCATCGCTGGTAGATTACCGGGGCGAACAGACAATGAAATCAAAAACTACTGGAACACCAATTTGAGTAAGAGAGTGCAAGGCCAAAAGATTACTCCCAAAAGTACCCAAGGTTCTAAAATGCAGCTTAACAAGCTGAGTAAACTGGGTTGCTTCAAATCCTCCCCGAAGGGGATCACGACAGATACTCAGCACAAGGTGATTCGAACCAAAGCAGTGAAGTGCACCAAGGCTGTCAATGTTATCCCACGACTGTTAGATAATCAGACAGCTGAAAACAATATTTTAGGCCCCAAATCTGAAAGTATCACTGCTAGTGAGACACCGTCTTCTTCAGCCATCCATGAGGATAATTCCATCGATTTCTTGATGGACTTTGACATCAATGAGCTTCTTGTATCGGACGCTCCAATCTCATCAGACTTCCATCCAATTCAACAGGTTGATGAAAATGGTGACAATTGGGTGGAGAATAGGGAATACGGAAAAGGTTTCAACTTAATTGATGAAGTTGAGCTTATCACTTCACCACCGAATGAAGCAAGGCCTGATAACTTGGGGGCGACTACCAACCTTTTATTCCAAACAACTGAAACTTTGGATGTCCGAAGTCTAGCATCTTATTTGAATTTAGAAGATGAATGGATTAATTAATTAAAGTTAAACAAAGTTAATAATATCATCATTCAGTTATTTTAAGTTTTTATTGAATTGTCAGAAGAATTAAGGTATGCTGTAATATTTGATTTTGAATATAAAAAACTCAAATCCTTACCTTAATATTAAAAAAGAATTAACAATAGCTATTGGCCCCGTATTATGATCATTAGAGAAAGCTATAATTTCAATTTTAATTAGAATCATTGAATATGTAAAGCCTTAAAGCAATACATATATCCTCAATGTGAAAATAACAAAAATAAGTGTCTTCATATGCTTTAATGTCACGCCTCACTAGCGTACGGATTGCAATCATATCAAAATTTACGTGCTTAGTTTCGTCGTCTATATTTTATAACAAAAATATAAAACGAATAATTAACTTTAACGACAAAAAGATAGGGCTATACTGTAAAAGTAAAAAAATGTAAATAGAGTTAATGTATTCATAGTGTTATATATTAGGGTAAAATTTTATTTTATTAAAAATAAGATCGGACTGTATTATGGGTATATTTTTAAATTGATATAAATAACTTTTTAAAGTTTATATTTTATATGAGTTTTAATATACTTAATATTAATATTAATTGTAAAATACATATGAGAAGTAAAATGATTACCATAAATATAATCTTGATTTTTTTTTAGCTAGTAATATAGTCTTGATTCACTAATAAAAAAAATTTCATGTTACATTATATTTCAATTAATTTTAACAAAAATTAAATTAATCTTAACATTTTAGAAAAGTTACAAAGACAACAATTAAATTAATCTTATCAAATTAATCTTTCATTTATCTATGAAAAATGAAATAAATAAAAAATAAGAAAAATTAGATTAGATTAATCTAGGGGTCGGTTGGTATTGTTTCTAGTTTTATATTTTATGTTTTTGAAATTTTGTTTTATTTTTTTATTTTATTAAAATTAAAAATAGATTTGAAGATTAAAATTTTTGTTGCAAAATTCTTAAAATAGGGGATCATAAAGAGAAGTGGTTAGAGGCATGGATTACGAAAATGGCAATGTTAGCATTTTTTTATGGTTATATATTTTTTATTTATGAAAGTTTTGTTGACATTGATTGGGTTTTGCTATATATTTATTAACTTTTAGATGTTAATTGGTGTTAATTAGGTTTTGTGATTATATTATCTAACTTTATGGATATTTACTAGTTTAATATTTAATAATTATTATGGAATTATTATATATATTGATTTGAATTTAATTTTTATATTTCTAATAACTACTTTTGAAGTAAGTTATAATATTATAATAAGATTTTAAGCTGTTTTGAAATAGTTTATATATTTGAATAAAAAGTGAAAGTTTTTATATATACTATTATTGAAATTTATTGTGATTTTATTATAGTTGACTCTAATATTAAATAAATTTAAATGTTTCTATTTTATTATTTTTTTTTAATATATCCATGAATATATGTTATGAAAGTGGGTTTAAATGGATCTATATTCTATAATGAATATGATTTTTTATTTATTTTCATCATACTAACTTGCTTAATTTTTTCATTTCAACTACTTTTAAAGTAAAACAAGTTTTGTATATCGAAGTGTCTCGGTCAGAGAAATTCTTCACAAAATTGATGAAATTGCACTAACAAGTTTCATACGTAAAAGTGGCTTAGTTGCTTTTCTTGTTCATAAAAAAAAAAAAACTTGTACTATTTTATTTCACAAATTATTTTTATCATCAAATGTCAATAAATTATATAAATTGTAATGTTACAAGTTTCATTGAATGGGTCTAAACAAATACAGTCACTAGAGCTAGAATGAGAACCCACATTTACAAAAATTTTCAATCGCACTCACAGATATTCAAGAGAACGTGGTGACTTTGTTGACTACAAGTCCAAATTTTCAGTGTAAGTAACTTTCAAATGACTAAATAATGATGAAATTGTTGCCTTGCTTCATTGAAATAGATAATATCTTGTGTGTTTTATGATGCAAAGACTTTGTTAATCCGTGAAAACTATTATATAATTTACTTTATGCTTTTGGTTGTATTGTGATTGTTCATCAAATATTGCATTTTTTGCATTGTAATGATAATTGTGTATTGTGATTATTGATGAATTATACGTGTGAATATTATATTGCGATAACTATTTATTTGTGAAAGGTTTTTGCTTATTATTTATATGATATCACATTTGTGAAATGTGAAAATTATTGGGTATTTTTGTTTGTGTATTTTGATTGTTAATGAAATATATAGTGAAGTAATTGAAAGCAAATACATTGTAAGAAATCCTGTATTGAAGTAAATAGTTTAGTGTATATTAAAATGCAATGAATTTGTAAAATTTAAAAATTATGCTTGAAGTTGTGAATTGTTTAAAGTAGTGATATTTTAGTGAACTATACAAATCCTACAGAAATTATTCTTGTTTTAAATTTTTAGTAGGAAAATTATGCTGCTACATTATCTCAGAAATACGGTGAAGAATGTTCTAATCATCTAAATTTTGATCTACAAGCATGGACTAAAGCTATTAGAGGGGTTGAAGTTATATGCACTCATGTGTATGACTTTGGATTAGCAAATAGATCTAGGGTTCTCCTTCACTCAACTTAGTCCACTATTATAGTAGGATCATCTAACTCTATTTGTGGTCCGTCATTTGAGCCTTCTCAGGCTTGTCAGCCTCAGACAGAAGAATGAATTGATGAGTTGATGATTGAGCTGAGAGCTAAGCCTAGGTCATTCATGGAGCAAATGATGTAGTTGATGAGATTTAGACAGACTTCATTATTACAATATTCTAGACCTAATGATGGCACCGAAGATTTTGGATCAGGAGGTGCAATAGCAGCACAATGACATTTTCTGTCGAATTTGTATAAGGTGTTGGATGGATGGATGGATGCTATGGATTTTTATAAATTGATATTTTATAATGTTTTATGGATGTTATGTATATTTGATGGATGTTTGATGGATGTTGGATGATGTATTTGACGAATGTTACCTAAATTTGATATTTTAATTAATAACAATAGCATATTTAAATAATTACATATGTTTAAATTATAATTTACAGAGTTTACAAATAATTACAAATTTTTTGAATAATTATAAATATTTTTATTTAAATTATTGATGAATTTGTACTTTTATCTATGAAATTTTATTATTACCAACATAATTTTTATTGTTACCAATGGAAAAAAAAATTTTGTAACCATTTTCATGGTTATTATCGATGAAATTTTATTATTACCGATGAATTTTTTGACAAAAAAAAAAACTCATTATTGACAGATTTACTAATAGTTTTACTGACAAAAATTTTGTAACTAATTATCAACGAAAATTTTCGTAAGTAAAATCGTCGCTAATAAATCAGTTAGTAATTACCAACGAATTTTAAACATTATTGACATAGTTAGTACCAACAAAATTTTTTATCGATAATACTTTTAGCTTGTTAATTGATTTATGTTTTTATCGACAAAAAATTTCATCAATAAAATATTATCGACAGATTTTAAGTTTTTATCAACAAAAAATTTTATTGATAAAACTTATTTTTCTAGTAGTGTAACTTGTTGATGGGTCGAGGATATTAATTAGGGTTGATTTCAATTCTGCAGATCTAATTATAGTCTCTAAGAAAAAATTCCAATGATTAAAACTTGAGAGTGTAATTATTTTAAAATCTCGAATTCAAATTCTGAAATAATTAAATAAGATTCATGAATGCAAAAATGATTATTTCTTATTGTCCTTGTAAACTTAACTTGAATTCTCTATATAGAAAAGGAAATTTGATTTGGGTTAATAATTTGTTTGAAATTTTATGGGTGAAGTTGTTAATGTGGAGCTCCTTGGCTTCGTAACAGTTACATATGTAATCATTTGATTTTCCCAAGCAAAATAAATTGTAAGAAACTCTTTATAAGTAATATGAATATTGGATAGAGAAATCATTAAGGTTTTGTTAAGAAAATAAATTTTATAAACATGAAATCGAAAAAAAGCTATGGATTTGTTTGCATCATTAAATTGTACTTGCCCTTCCCGTCTTTTTTTGTTTTTTTCCATCTGAAAATAAGATTCTTGAGTATATGGGGCACATATATAATGATTGCATGCAGATAAGATAATTGCCCCAAGCAGTACTCAAAGCACCATGAGCTTAGACTCCCAAACCCCTAAATCAAATGTAATATTAAGGTTATGAGGTCCAGTGGATTTTAAGCATATTCCTAGGACAACGATTTCAAAGATCAAGCTCTGGAGACTTGAACAGATTTTTTTTTTCCAATGACTTGAACAGGTTTAATTTATCCAGAAACGGGGGAAAAAAGGGGGAGGATATGTACAGAAGCCAGCTAACTAGGAAGAGGACAGAAAATATATACCTATATAGAATATTCAGGGGCCACAAGATTGTTGATCGGTTAAAACCGAGCCTGCAATAATGATGGAATGGTGGGAACGGTAGGCACAATTAGAATATATACATAGCTTTTAAAACGGCTGTGGGTACCGAGTACTTCTCAATCGCATTGGTACATTTTTGTAAATGAATTGGGGGAGGAAGACTGGGGTTTGCAACAAACTTTCCTAGGCATGCAAGAAAGTTAATTCGAGCCTTTGAAGGGACGAAAATTTTTTTAGAGCAAATAAACAGAAGTAAAGAAGGGCAGGTGAAAGTCAAACAATCATCACGATCCTTTTAGGTTGATCTAATTATGTATTCCAATAATTTACTTTTAAATTTATACCAGCTAGCATTAGTGCGTTACTATATATATTCAAGCTGATGGAGGACCAAAAATCAAATTATATATATCATCACTCATGGAAATGCCATTAATAAATCATTCCAAGCAACGGCTCCTTCACATATATGCATAAATGCAGGTTCTTATATATTGACCATATGTATGGACTTGGCCATTTAGAGTACACATTTTGGAGTAAAGGCGTCCTATATGACACATCCCATTCACAGAATCCTGATAGAAAGAAT